TTCCCGATGTGTGCTGTCACGTGCGCAGGCGCACCTGGCACACTCTACGCGTGCCCCGAACGTGGCGCACCTGGCGTGACTGGACCATGCGGCACGCATGCCGCACGTGGGGCACGTGGCGCGTCTGGCGCGCGAGGCGTGCCTGGCACGCTTGAGCCCGAGGAGTGCCTGGCGCACCTGGGGCGCCTGGCACGGTTGGCGCACCTCGCCCCATCGCGCACATGGGGTCTGTATTGGTTTCCAGTAGATGCCCATCCATAGACGACCACTGAACATGCTAAGGCCTGGGTGGTACTTATATGTTGGGAGGGCGGGTGGGACTGAGCGAGACAGCTTGCGGGCGGGGAGGGTCTTGATCACTGCTCCTTCTTAACCAGGAACCATGAGGACACCATGACGGCCCGCCCCCCACCATCCCTGTCAAACAACAGTACAAACCGCACTCTGCCTCCACATTTGGAGCATGCGCGGCCAACCCGATGTGGCCACCACCCACTATCCCTGTCAATACTTTGGGGCAAAGTCTTGAGTCTTGTTTGTGAGGCCCGCGACCACTTTGTATTGTTTTAGACAAGGACTGCGGGGGTGCCAGCATATTTCCTGCCGTGCGCAGGGCTACCACCCCTAACAAACAAGAATACAACATGAACCTCGCGACTAACTCTGGATCATGCGCGGCCATCCCGCGATCACTGTCAAATGGTTTTTGACAGGGACGGCGGGGGTGGTGGCGCGTGGCCTCCTGTGCGCAGGCCCACCAGACACAATGATGGGCATTGGTTTTCGACAAGGATGGTGGGGGCCGACACGTTTCCCGATGTATACTGTCACGTGCGCAGGCGCACCTGACGCACTTTGCACGTGCTCCGAAAACGGCGCACCTGGCGCGGCTGGTGTGTGCGGCACACCTGGCGCACTCGGAGCACGTGGCGCATCTGGCGCACCAGGCGTGGCTGGCACGCTCGGGCCCCGGGGGTGCCTGGCGCGCGTGGTGCGCCTGGCACGCGTGGCGCACCTCGCCCCAACGTCGCGCACTTGGGGTCGGCTTTGGTTCCCAGTAGCTGTCCATCCAAAGACGACCGCTGAACATGCTCAGGCTCGGGTGTTTCTTATGTGTTGGGAGGGCGGGTGGGAACGAGCTAGACGGCTTGCTGTTTAGGAGGTGTCTTGATCACTGTTCCCTATTAATAAACACCCCCTCCCCCACCTGGCGGGCAGCCAACCCGGAACCATGCGGGCCCCCCCCCCACCATCCCTGTCAACAAAACAATACACAATGCACATTGCGGGGCCCACCACGCCAACCCCCTGCACAATCCCTGTCAAGAACAATACGAAGCGCACATTGCAGCAACATCTGGACAGTGCGCTGGCGCCCTGTGGGCACAATGTATTGTTTTTTGAAAGAGATGGCGGGGCACCCATAAGGAAGCCGCTTTGTGCAGGACCACCATCTGTATCAAAAACAATGCAAACTGCACGTTGCGACAACGTCGTGGGTATTGTGCTGGCCACCCGCGATCACTGTGTATTGTTTTTTGGCAGGGACGGCGGTGGTGCCCGCATGATGATGCTTGCTGTGCGCAGGCCCTGAACAATGCTGACGCCCCCCCCCCCACATCAGCCCCTGGACCATGCGGACCGGGAGGCATCACGTTGCTTACAAAGATGGCACACCAACCGCATGTGAAGCCCGCGGCGAGCGACGCGCACCTGGCTCGAAAGTGGCGACAGTGTTGCAGATCGCAGCCCCCCAGGGACGGCGAGGTCTCGCTCAGGTCCCCACGGTGCCTCAGTCTGCAGAACCCATCAGCAGCCCTCGAAAGTGGCGACATTGTCGCAGATCGCAGCCCCCCAAGGACGGCGAGGTCTCGCTCAGATCCCCGCGGTGCCTCACTCCGCTGGACCCAACAGCAGCCCTCGAACGTGGCGACAGTGCCGCAGATCGCAGCCCCCCAGGAACGGCAAGGTCTCGCTCAGATCCCCGCGGTGCCGCAGTCCGCACGACACACCAGCAGCCCTCGAAGATGGCGACAGTGTCGCAGATCGCAGCCCCCCAGGGACGGCAAGGTCTCGCTCAGGTCTCCGCGGTGCCTCACTCCGCTGGACCCAACAGCAGCCCTCGAAAGTGGCGACAGTGCCGCAGATCGCAGCCCCCCAGGGACGGCGAGGTCTCGCTCAGGTCCCCGCGGTGCCTCAGTCCGCAGGACCCACCAGCAGCCCTCGAAGATGGCGACAGTGCCGCAGATCGCAGCTCCCCAGGGACGGCAAGGTCTCGCTCAGATCACCGCGGTGCCCCAGTCCACATGACACACCAGCAGCCCTCGAAAGTTGCGACAATGTCGCAGATCGCAGCCCCCCAGTGACTGCGAGGTCTCGCACAATTCCCAACGGTGCCTCAGTCCGCTGGACCCAAGAGCAAGCCTCGAAAGTGGCGACAGTGCCGCAGATCGCAGCCCGCCAGTGACGGCGAGGTCTCGCTCAGATCCCCGCGGTGCCTCAGTCCGCAAGACCCACCAGCAGCCCTCGAAAGTGGCGACAATGTCGCAGATCGCAGCCCCCCAGGGACGGCGAGGTCTCGCTCAGGTCCCCGCGGTGCCGCAGTCCGTAGGACCCACCAGCAGCCCTCGAAAGTGGCGACTGTGTCGCAGATCGCAGCCCCCCAAGGACGGCGAGGTCTCGCTCAGGTCCCCGCGGTGCCTCACTCCGCTGGACCCAACAGCAGCCCTCGAAAGTGGCGAGAGTGCCGCAGATCGCAGCCCCCCAGGGACGGCGAGGTCTCGCTCAGATCCCCGCGGTGCCTCAGTCCACACGACCCACCAGCAGCCCTCGAAAATGGCGACAGCCCCCCCCAGGGACGTCGAGGTCTCGCTCAAATCCCCGCGGTGCCTCATTCCGGTGGACCCAACAGCAGCCCTCGAAAGTGGCGACAGTGTCGCAGATCGCAGCCCCCCAGAGACGGCGCACACACACACGAGGTACGCACAAGACAAGAGGAGACAAGAGGAGACAAGAGGAAAGCGAGAAGCGAGAGGCGGGAGGAGGACTGGAGACCGCAGTGCTTTATTCAAAAGGAATACCCAACCAAGGAGGGTTGGGAAAAACAGCCCTGGGCCAATTGACAATGTCAGCGCTGGCTGGGGCGAGCGTGCTCAAGAAACTGGGCCATTGTTCCAGCAAGTTGGTCAAGAGTCGCTGGCCCAACTTTTCGGGAGGAGGTCTCTTAATCAGATGCTCGACTGTATACGGCTGGGAACTTTTGCTCACCGTGTCGCGGCGGCGACCCCGGCGACGCGCGACACCGTTTTAGGCGGATGGCGTGCCGCCCCGCTCCACGGGGCGGGAGGCTGGGAAAAGCTCAGGACGTTGGTGCCTGGGGGCTGGGACGTGGTCAGCGTGTCGCGCCGAAGCGTGGCGGGCCAGAACCGGCGGCGTGGCACGCTAAGCCGAAGTTCCCTGCCGTATCCCCCTCCGACACCCACGCGCGTGAAAGCTCGTGCCGAACGTGCACGCGCCAGAATGCATGCTGGGGTCCTCCCCCCTCGCACGGCGTTTATCATGTGAAGGCTCCGGCGCCCGCATGCTGGATACACCCCATATTGCGCCCACCCGCGCCACACGCGCACGCGCTACACGACTATGGGATGCTCCTCCTCCGCGCGCGAATCTGCATGTGTGGCACCGTGAGCCCCCGCTGGGGCGCCCACGCGCGTGAAAACACTTGCCACATGCGTATGCGTCACGCACATGTTGGATACACCCCCTCCGCGCGTGCATCTTTGCAGGTTGTCGGATACCCCCCCTTTCGCCGCCCACACCTGCGAGAACACGTGCCGAATGCGCACGCGCCACACTCATGTTGGAGGACCCTTTTCCGCGGGTGTTTTTTATGTGTGAAGATCCGACGCATCTCGGGCGTCCGCACAGGTGAAAGCACCTGCCACCGCCGCACACGCCACGCGCATGTTGGATCCCCCCTTCCGCGCACGCATTCTCACATGTCATGGGGTACCTTCCTAGTGGTGCCTACCCGTGTGAAAACGCATGCCATATGCGCACGCTCCACACGCTTGTTTCGAATAGTCCGACGCCCCCGTGTTGGATACCTCCCCTTTTTTGGCGCCCACAAGCGTGAAAAAATGCTGGATGCGCACGCGCGCCACACGCATGTTGGGTACACCCTAACGGCGCACGTCTTTCAAGTGTGAAAATTCGACTCCCCCATGTTGGACCCCCCCCTGTGGCGCCCACACGCGTAAAACAAATGATACATGCGCACATGCGCACTCGCCACACGCACGCTCGATGCACGCCACACGGCTTTTGGGTGTGAGGAATCCAACGCCACCATGTTGGATGTATACTTTTCCTTGGCGTCCACACGCGTGATGTTTTCTACCTCCCACACTCCATGTCACTAGTTATGTTCAAATGCCACATGCGCGCGGCACATGCAGGTTGGTACCATCCCTCTGCAGACGCACCGTTTTGCTCGTGAAGAATTCGGCGCCCCCATGTTGGATACCCCCCTTGGCGTCCATACGTGTGAAAGCACGTGCCAAGCGCGAACGCGTTATGCGCATGTTGGTTACCCCCTTGGGCCCACACTTGTGAAAGCACGCGTCTCGCTCACTCCCCCCCTCTCCTCCTGCTGCTCCTTCTCCTCGTCCTCCTCGTCCTCCTCCTCCTCCTCCTCCTCCTGCTCCTCCTCCTCCTCCTCCTCCTCCTCCTCCTCCTCCTCCCTTCCGCTCATCGAGGCCACCTCGCCCTCCCGCGCCCTCGTTCTCCTCCTCGCCCTCGTCGTATTCCTGGGCGGTCGTCGCCGAGAGCGCCGCCGCCGCGGCCGCCGCAGGCCGCGGCGGCGGCCGCTGCACCCGCTCGGGGGGGTCCAAGAGGTTCGCGTCCAACGGGCGGGGTGGGGTCGGAACTCATTGCCCGAGGCATGTGCGCGGACGAGGGGGTGGGGGCCAAAGGAAGCGTTGAAATGGGAAGAGGGGGCCATGACGTCCGGGCAGCAGTCGCGGCCCCCCCCGCCATGACAGCCACCCTCCCTAGACGTCGCCCCCCCTCCTGGCCGCCCCCGAACGTCCCCCCGCCCCCGGCAGCAGGGGCGCCGCGGGGCCCTCTGGGCGGGCGGGGAAGTTCGCGGTGCGCGCCCGCGTCAGCGCTCCCGGCCTGGCCAGGGGAGGAGGAGAAGGAGGAAGGGGAGGAGGATGGGGGAGGAGGAGGAGGAGGAGGAGGAGGAGGAGGAGGAGGAGGAGGAGGAGGAGGAGGAGGAGGAGGAGGAGGACCAGTGTAAACCCAAGAACCATCAACGATGTTGGAATGCACCCTCCCTCCAAGCTCTCTCTTCATAGCCCCCTACAGCGGTTCATTTCCATGGAGGGATCTGCCTCGTTGGAAGCCGACGGTTTGAAAACCCGGAAGCATGCCAAAACATTGTTCTCAACGCCACGGTTCAACCTGGATGCCTGGATCGTGCCAAAACGCCATTCTTGGGATTTCAATGCCGCGAATCAACGTAACTGTTGCACCAGCAAAATCTTGAATCCTTCCAAAACACCATGTCTGGTACGTTGATCGTGGGAACCCGTGAAACTCTTGCAAAATGTATGAAAGAATGTGCGCGGCGCTGAGGCGGGAACCACATTTTGAAAAAGGAGCCGCCCTTTAATCCGTGAAGCTCTTGAAAATTGTTAGAACGAGTGTGCGCGGCGCCTAAAACGAGAACCACATGTTGAAAAAGGAACCGCCCTGAATCCGTGCAGCTCCTGCGCAGTTTTAGAACGAAAGTGCGCGGCACTGAAACGATAACCACATTTTTAGAACGGGTTATCCTCAATCCGTGAAGCTCTTGAAAACTGTTAGAACGAATGTGCGCGGCGCTAAGGCGAGAACCACCTTTTGAAAACGGGTTGTCCTCAATTCGTGAAGCTCGTGCAAATTCCTAAAACGAATGTGCGCGGCGCTAAGGCGAGAGCCACATTTTGAAAACCATCCGCCCTCCATCTGTGCAGCTGTTGCTCATTTTTAAGCTCCAGCCATACATGGTGCGGAAGTCTCAAGGGAAACGCCCAGCCCGCCCTAGAAACTTGCCTCCGGGTGCGACAGGGAGACGTCATGTAGAAGGAAAATCATTGAGGAGGAGGAGGAGGAGGAGGACCAGGAGGAAGAGTAGGAGGAGGAGGAGGAGGAGGAGGAGGAGGAAGAGGAGGAGGAGGAGGAGGAGGAGGAGGAGGAGGAGGAGGAGGAGGAGGAGACGACACCGCGCTGGATGCGATGCGGCACTTGCGCACCTGCCGCCGCGCTTTGAGCGGCGACTGCAGCTTCATGCGCTATTTGATGCGCGACTCCGCCAGTAGGTTCGCGACCTTGGTTTCTTCTCTGGCAGCGCTGCAGCCGAGAAATCGCCGCGTGAAGCCGACGGCGCACCTGCTCCTCGAGATGGCCTTCGCGCGGGGGCAGCCGTCGCTTTGTTGGACCTGCAGGGGCGAAGACCTCGGGGGGCAGCGTGGGGCACGCGGCGAAGAGGCGCGGCGCCGCGCTCACGGCGGCGGGGCTCTCCCGATCGGTCGCCGCGCGCGCCCGCACGCAACCGATGGCGCGGCTGGTGTGACGGTCGCGCGCGTGGGCAGAAAAAGGCACGCGCCGCCGCGCTGCTGTGGCGAAGAGGAGGCGGCGCCGACTGCTTCGGCGGGGTGCATGCGCCCTCTGCTTCAGGAGGCCGCGCCTCCCTCCTGGAACGGACCACGACGATGAAACATTCGACGACGATGGTCGTCGCTAAGCATGACAACATTTAGCAGTCGCGTGCCCGAAAAATCTGGGCGGCAGCCAACGCGGTGCCCCGCCCGCAGGAAGGCGCCCGCGTGCCCGTGCCAGGTGACCTACATCCACTGTTACCCTCCATGCGCATTAACCTTTTACATTGCTTTCCAATCCTCTCAAGACTCAGGTTGCCACTGCTTCCACATCGGTACGCAGCGCCACTGCGTCCGCCGCGACTTCCACCTGGGAGCCGTCGTGGCACAGACGCGAACCCCGACAGCGACCAGCAGCGCGTGCCCTACCCAGGGTCGCAGCAACACGCGACCTACTCGACTCGCGCCACAGTGCACAGCAGCCACCGCGACATCCACCTCAAATTCCAACCATGGCGAAGTCATGGAGTGCAACCGCGAGCGGATCGGGAACGGCAGTGCCACAGTGGAGGTCAACGCCGACCGCCCACGAAGCAGACCAACTACACCGAGATCCATCGCGCCGACAATTGGGGCGGGCCTCGCACGTTGGAAGAACCTCAACTGGACGGGCCAGTGGGCCGAGGAGCACCCCGAGGATAACTGGGGCCACAGTATGGCCCCAACTGCAACGGCCACAGCGGCAAGGGCAACAACAGAAAGACTGCGCAAGACGACATCGAGCCCGACAACTCGACCCCGGAAAGCAACGAGAAGCCCGGCAAGGGCAAGGGCAAGACAAGGCAGCAACCTGACAGTGAGCAGCAGCACAAGAGGAATGATGACACCCATTACTACAGCGACCACATCGCCAACGTCATCAGAAACGTCATGCCCAAGAGGAGGATCTACACCGCCAGGAGGCACGACTGGGAGCTAGCACCCAAAGACCCCGAACTGAAGGGCGACTGCAAGAAGCTTGAGAACATTGAGATGAGGCGGGCCGCGGCAGCCATTGCCAAAAACAGTGCAGCAGGACTGCAGCCTGCGGGCGCCGTGGCACGGATCGCCTTCACCTAAGCCATGATCCTCAACAGCATGTCCCTGGCGGAACAGATGAGGGATGTCGAGGCAACGAAGCAAGCCGTGGAGGACCCACCTGCACACTGTACAGTTCTACATGAGTGAAATGGAGAACAAAATCGACGATGTCACAATTCCGCAGCGGGACATCAGCAACGCCGAAAAACCGTTACAGCGACGACGAGGCGGCCGACGACGAGGCTGGCGCGCCCCAGCGCGAGGTCCCCTCCCCGAAAAGTTCTCCACCCCAGCGCCGAGAAGACAGACAAGGGCCGGGGAGACCACAGAGGGTCAAGACGTCGGCGTATTGTTCACATGCCGCAAGGAGGACAACCAACGCATGGCCTACGACGTCAAGCAGAACAGGACCGACGTCAACAGCAAGATCCAGGACCTGAAGGACTACCACCGAAAGGCAGAAGAAGAAGAAGAAGAAGCTCCACAACACCAGCGTGACTGGCCCATCGGAGCAACCATGGCCCGCAGGAACCCCGGCGAGCTTCTGACCGAGATCCAGAACGCCAATCAGACAACCGAGAAGGCGGCGTAATGCCGCGAGTACATGCAAATGTGGAAGGAAAGAGGCAGCGCTCGAAAGGGCCGAAGAGGAGCTGGAGGAGGCCAACGGGAAGGCCAACGCCGACGTTCATATCCAGCGCACACCTACTACCGAGAGGCTGAAAAAGGAGCTCCAAGGAACGCAGAAGAGGCTCGCCGACAGCAACGACGTCCGAGCCAACGTGGAAAAGAACTTGAGAGAGGCGCCCAACATTGCGGACGAAAGACAAAGACACTGCAACATGACCATGGAGGCCGACCAGCATATCGCCCGCATAGAAGCAACAGCGGCAGAGACTCGCAGAAAAGACCGCGACGACCACATCCTGTTGTGCAACGTGTGGGGCGACTCGTAGACTACGGGCGCACGAACGACTGCAACAACGTGAAATTCACATGGGGGCCACCGCCCACCACGCGCAAGAAGAGTACCAACAACGGGTGACCAGCATGGAGCGCCTAGTCCGGATCAGGGATACTGAGCAGGCACAATAGTAGGAGCACTACCTATGTAGAGCACTCGCCGAGAAAAGCACCTGCGAGCAGCAGGCGCAATGCAACTTGCTACGGGCCGACGGACGGGTGCATCTCATGGAACAGACGGCGGAAATGGGCGCGGCAGAGCAGCGCCATGCATTGCGACAAGAGATTGACATCTACCGCCAAGAGGAGATCCACGCGGTCATGACGACGCAAGTACAGGAACAAACATGCCTACCAGATGCAGAAAGGGAGGCCGTCCACTGGAAGGCCTACCGCCTCTCCTTCCGGCTCCACGGCGCCGACCAGAATAGCAACGTGCTGGGCCTGGGCGAAGCCATGCCCCCCCCCTCCTCTACATGACCGACACCTTGGCAACCGTGGGAGCAAAGGCCTTGCACCCACGCAGCGACAACATGATCTTCGAGCATAGCAACTTCCACTTGGCCCGCAGACGCGAGGTGGGCCCCGCGCTGCTGAGGGGCCACCCCAGCGGAGACCTCGCGCCTCTGGTAGAAGCTACGGGTTGGGAGATAACGATCCCGAGGAACTGCAGCGCCGAGTGCAGAACCCAACGACATTCTCACTGCCCTCGAGGCCACTCCCGTCGCGCGACCGCCTGGGCCAGACCCGCCACCACGGCAGCCGCTGACATCCATCTTGGCACGCGGCATCGCCAGGGCCGCGAACGAGGGCGCTCGCAACCTCGTGTCCCACTTTGGCCCCGAAATGTGAGTTTAAGCAACGAAGCAGCTGGCCAGCGTGGAGGTCTCATGGTGTGACGACACTGAGGAGGAGTTCCAAGCAGAGCTTGACATGCAAGGCTTCGCAAAGCGGAAGCAGACCGACGACGTCATCCTGTGCGCGCTCAACGCGCAGCTGTAAATCAGGTCGATGCAGACCGCATTAGCAGAGTAGCTTGCAGCCGAAGCCGACAAACAGAGCCATGGCAGTAAGTCGAACGCACGCGACGCCCAACCCAGACAAACCTCCGCCACCGACGTGCCCGCCGCAACCTTGTTACCCGCCAGACTAAGTCACGTGGGGTGATCAGTCGCTGACGCGAGCCCTGCGAACTACGACACTCCCCAACGGGCTACCTACGTCACCGAACCATCAACTGCCACTACTGCGTCTATGGGTCGCCTACAAATACTTAGGCGAGCAGGACATGCGGAATGCCGGGGTATACTACTTCAACTTGGACACCGAAGTTGCGACGTGGGACGATCCAGGCAGCGTACTACTAACCACGGGATGGAAGCGAGCTCTGTCATCCGAGAATGACGCGTGCTTCTGCGACGGCAAGTCGCACTGCGTGGAGCTCCCCCCGTCGCCGCAAGGGGCCGCGCGCAACCTCCGCCACCGCCAGCG